TCTACCAGCCCACCTTTCGGTCCTCCTTCTGACCTCACTTCAAATGCCACCTCCTCAGGGAAGGCTTTCCTGACTTCCATCCAAGTCCAACCAGGTCCCCATATTGTATATTCCATTAACATTTTTTTTTAACTAAAACGATGGTTTTTAATGGGAACCAGAGGTATGGTTACAATTACATAGTCTGACACAAAAAACCCATGAGTGATCAGCAGTTGAAAGATTACAAAATAATGAGGGTAACACTGGGTACAAGAAGAAAAGCTGTTGCAGAACCTCAGGAGCCAAGCTAATATGGCCTCTCCCTGCGATCCTGTCTGCGCTCACCCCTGGAGTCCATCTTGCCAGGGCCAAAGCCACCTCTGTCCCCACCACCCTGGCCCCCTCGGAAGCCCCCACGGTCCCCGCCTCGGCCTCAGTAGCTGCCCCAATCATAGCCTCCTCTGCCACCACAACGATCATCTCCATAGTTACCCCCATATGAGAGCCTCCTAGTCCCCCTTCCTGGGCCATCTGGTTTAGGGGCCTTACATTGGTTGCATTCATTCCTCCAAGAGAAGTTCATGTTCTCACATATAGGATTAGGACACTTCCAGTCACCAGCTCGCTGCTGGCCGCCACCACCACCCCCTCCACTGGGGAATCCTCCCCGGCCACCGCCACCACGGCCACCACCTCCATAGCCTCCACGGCCGATGGGTCCTCCTCGCCCTCAGCCTCCATGACCATTGCCACCGCCCCGGTTGAAGTCTGCTCACCGAGTAGCAAATGAGACCTTGATGGGATTCCCAGAGAATTCTTTACCATCAAACCAGTCAATAGCTGCTTTAGCAGAAGGTGGGTCATCAAACGACACTGTTGCCTCTCCCTTCAGCTTGCCCGTTTCCCTGTCTGTGTACAGATTAATCATGGGCTGTCCTGTTTTCTTATTTGTCTTAATAATACCAATCTGCTTGAAGTAATCAGCCACAGACTCAACTGTAACATTTTCACCCAAGCCTTGCACGAAGATGGTGGTGTTGTCTGGATTATCCTGTTCAGAGTCATGACGTGGTCCCTGGTCCCGAGGGCCACCAAATTTACTGAAGCCACCATGGTCACTTCCGCCCATGCCGCCTCTGCCTCCACGGCCACCTCCACGACCTCTGGGTTCATGGCCACCGCTGCTGCGGTCGTAACCACCGCCACCGCCCCGGCCGCGGCCCCCACGGTCCTGCTGGCCATAGCCTTGAGGGGGGTTATGGGAGCTTTGCTGCTGTCCACGATAGCCAGACTGCTGGCCATAGCCCCACTCTGGGGCTGCCCATAGCCGCTGCTCTGAGAAGCACTACCATAACTTCCCGAGGTGCTGCTAGGAGCTGGCTGCTGGCCATAGCCAGGGTAAGAGGACTGTTGCCCATAAGATGACTGAGAACTCTGGCTACCGCCATAGTCACCGGTTGAGCCATATCCCTGGGGACCTGACTGAGCGCCATAGCCTGTGTTCTGGGTCTGTTCGTAGGAAGAACCATAGCTGCTCTGGCCGTAGCCTGAAGTGTCTGCTGACTGGCCGTAACCACTGTAACTCTGCTGTCCATAGGGCTGATTGCTCTGCTGGGAATAGCCCTGCCCAGGCTGGGTGGGGTAGGCCCCATAGCTTCGGGTTGCTTGTTGGGTATAGTCGGTTGAGGCCACGTCCACACACACGCGCACAGGCCGGCAAGCAACAAGATTCCAACACCACAGAGCACTGACACCTCGAGGACTCTCTATATTCCATTAACATTTTATCTGAAATGCTCACTGCCTACCCAGGGGCCCTTGGCTCCCACTGTTCCCCCTGGCATGAAGGGCTTCCTTCTTCCTGAACCCACATGGGGGTGGGGTGGGAAGGGTGCCCCACACTGGAGCACCCCCCCCCCACACACAAGCAGCCTTCAACCGAGGAGGATAGGGATTGGTGGATAAATACCCCAGCTTCCCCGCCTCTCGGCCCTTACAACTCTGAGGAGTGTGTTCTCTGCTGCGCCCCCACAGGTCCCCAGTGGGACTGCGCCGCAGTTGTCAGGAGAGGTAACTGGCTTCAGTATGGCAGCCTTCCTTTACTGGCCTCCTTCCCTTCCCCGTCTAACTTTCTCACCCTCTACTTATGTCTCCTTGGGTGGCCTCCCAAATAAATAACTTGCCCTCAAATTCTTGCCTCAGCATCTCCTTCTGGAGGAGCCCAACCTAAGACAGCAGTTTGCCCTATTATAATGAATTCCCTGTTTGCAATTATTGGTCATCTCTCTCCCTGGGCTGAGTCAGGTCCACCACCATGTCTTCAAAGCCCATATGGTGCTTGGCATGTAGTAGATGCTCAATAATGACCCCAAGTCTCATGGCCGTGAGGTGGCCAGGATGGCAGTGGTCACTCTAGGCTCACCACCATCCTCCAAACCCACTGTTGGGACGGGAGTTCACTCCTTCTGAGCTATAAATGGCAACTTCCACCCCCATCATGCCCCACAGCCTGGACAGCTGGGACAGGGTCCCCAGGAGCCCTGGATGACCCTTCCAGCCCTGGTCAGCTCTCCTCAGGTGTCCCTGGGGCAGATACACAGAGAGGGCACCAGTCCCGAGGCTGCAGGGCAGGGGGCACAGCTGGACTCTAACGCCATTCCTAGCCTCCTTCTCCCCTCCCCAGCATCAGATTCCACCTCCGGGAGCTCCCTGAGCAAGAGGACATTCCAGTGACAAGGGTCTACCTTACAAGGCCACCGAGCTAGCCGGCAGCTCCTGGGGGAGGGATCCCTTTCCTGAGCTGGTGGTGTCAGGTCTGGAATTAGCCACACCACCTGCGGTAAGGCTGGTCCCAGGGACTCCCAGGAGGTGGTGGCGGGGGGAGCGCAGGGGGTGGAGGGAGATGACCTCTGATGACTCAGCCTGAGGCAGAGGATGGGAGAAAGAAGGCAGAAAGACATGGCAGGGTGTCTTAGGACCTCTCTCCAGCTCTGTCTAGAGGCAGCTGGGTCAGGTTCCAGTTCTGCCATTCACAAACTGGGTGACCCTGGGTGGGTGACTCTGGGCCTCTGCTTCCTTCTCTATAAATGGGAACAAATCCAGTCTTCTACCTCTTAGGGTTCAGGGAGGCGGAAGTGAGATGCTTTGAGTGGAGTGCTCAGCAGGGCACCAGGCACAGCACTTCATTATCTATCCCCAGTCTTTCAATCATCACTGACATTCTTCGAGATGCATGATGGTCTGCTTGTGTCCTAAGAGGAAACCGGGTCTTCGCAGCCAGGACTTGGGGAGGGGTGGGATAAGAGAGAGAAAGATGGAGACAGAGTTGGGGAGGGATCTGGGCCGAGTCCCCTTGATTCCTGAACATGGGGAGAAGCCAATATCCTTGGAGCATGAGAAAGTTTCCAGAATGTTCCGTTGCTACTTTTTGGGCTCCCATGCTGATGGGGGAGGGACAGGACTTCTCAATGTGACAAAGCAAAGGAAGCTGGTTTAAGGGGGTCAGAGGGAAGCAGGGACTCTATATCTGGGCCTGACCCCCGTGCTCCCCAGCGGTGCTGGCCACTGCCCAGACTCCTTCTGTGGTCTTGGGTAGGAAACACAGAAGCTTCACTCCTTATACTTCATCCCACATAGAAGCTTTGGTGCTGGGGCTGGGGGGCCAGGGCTCTGTCTAGGAACCCAGGAGGGCGTTCTGGAGGAGGAGCCATCTGATCTGGACTTTAAAGGATGAATAGAGTTTCCCAGTTGGAGAAGTGTGTGTGGGGGGGGGGTGAGGGGTGGTGTGAGAATGTGTGTGAGAGAGCGTGTGGATGTATAGGGGTAATGGTTCACTTTAATAAGGGTTCTCTGATCTTCTGGAGGCCAGGTACTGAGGGGCCACAGATAAGACTGAGGCACAGGCCTGCCCCAAAGCAGCTCAGGGTCCAAAACTGATGACCAAATAACAGTAATAGTAAAAGGTACCACGTTCTGAGCATGTGCTGCTGGGGCTCAGCACATGAAAGGCTCTCCGTGTTCATCACACGAAAGAATGAGTTTCTGAAGGCAGATTGCTGGAGGACAGAGGGGAAGCGTAACGGGGAGGCTGGGGGTACCCTACTTGGAAAGGCCTGGAGGTGGGGAGACCACAGCCCTGCCTGGGAAACACTGCTGTGGAGAGTTGGGGAGTGAGCAACGGGCAGGAGTCTGAATGACAAGCTGAGCTAAGGCCACCTCCTATTTCAGTGGTGCTGGGGAGCCACAGACGGATGCTGAGTGGGGAAGAGAGCGTATGCCATTTCAGGAGGGCATCAGGGCCTGGTCTGGGCCTGCCAAGAATTTCCAAGAGATGATCCAGGTCAATCTTGCCCTGGTGATGCTGGCCCGCGGGGGCAGGGGAGATGACAGAGAGACAGACATAGGAGGAGACAGATAGAAAGAAGGACAGGGGGAACCTGAAGGGATAGAGAGAGAGAGAGACAAAGCAATAGAGAGAGAGTCCAAGAGAACAAGACCAAAAGAGACAGGGAGACAGGGAAATGAACACACCAACTGAGAGGTGGGAAGACACAGACAGAGAGATGGAGAGAGACACAGACAGAGAGAGACACAAAGACACTCATCAGAAAGGAGACAGAGGGAGAAGATGATGAGTCAAAGATTTGCCAGAAAGAGGGGGGTAACGCAGGGAGCCCCTGGGGCAGAGCAGGAGATGGGATGGAGTCCTGACTCCCAATACCTGGAGGCAGGACCAGAGGGGAGGAGAAGGGAGGACAGGCGCCTCCCCACCCCACCTCGCCCCTACTCTGCACCCACACGCAAGCCCTCTCTGTGCTCCGCAGCACAGACAGGGAAATTGAGGCTGGCCCATGGTCCACCAGGGTCCTGCTGAGCCAGCGCTATGCCCGCACACCCACCAGGGACCTGTGTCACCAGGTTAAAAATGGAAACGGGTCGGGCTTTTTCTTTCCTTTTTTTTTTCCTTTGAGAAAATCCTAGGCCCAAATAAGGCGAGGGCTGTGGGGCGGCCGGTGAGCTGGCCAAGTCCTCCTGAGCAAGCGAGTGGTGGCTGGCCCGGCAGCCTGGGCTTGGGCCTCCTCCAGGTCTCGCCCGGCAGCGGGGCGGTGCGCCTGGGAGCCTATAAGGGCCTCGCCCCCGCCTGGCTGCTCACTCGGCCCCGGCCCGCAGCGCAGCCCCCTCCACAGAGTCCTCTGTGCCCGCGCCCCACCGCTCAGCCATGGAGGCCATCAAGAAGAAGATGCAGATGCTGAAGCTGGACAAGGAGAACGCCATTGACCGGGCGGAGCAGGCCGAGTCGGATAAGAAAGCCGCTGAGGAGAAGTGCAAGCAGGTGAGGTGCCCAGTGCCCTCTGTGGGGTGCTCCTGGCCGGGAGGCCAGGCTCTGGGACCTAAGGCGGGAGTTTCAGCAACCTCAGTGCCTGGAGTCAGGGCAAGGGACAGGGGGTGATGGCTGAGAGTGAGGGGACCATTGTCTTTCCAGGGTCCCTGAGCTGGGAGAGAGAGGTGACTATACCCCAGCAGGGCCAGGGTGAGCAAAGCGAGAGAGAGAGAGAGAGAGAGAGAGAGAGCGAGCATGCGCGCTTGGGCAAGGGAGGGGTGTTTGTGTGCACTGGATGTGTGTGCAAGCTGGAGTGTGTGTAGGGGTGTTGGGATGAGGGGATGAGCGTGGGGGGTGTGTACTAGATGGGGTGGTTGGTGGACACCGTGTGTGAGAGTGTATTTGTGTGTTTGGGCATTTCTGTGTGCGCACAGGTGGGGCGTGTGTGTGTGTGTGTGTGTGTGTGTATTAGTGTCCAGGTGAGGGTGGCGGCGCCCGGCTACGTGTGCACGTGTGTGCGTGTGCACACGCGTGTGTGTAGTGGTGAGGGTGGCGGTGCCGAGCTGTGTGTGAGGGTCACCCTGTACCCGTGCCAGGACACACCCAGGTGGGACTGTGCAGGAAGGGTGGCCGAGTGTGGGTGTGGCCGGGGCAGCTGGGTGAGAGTCAGGCCTGGGGCAGCTGGAGATTTGGGGGTGAACCTGAGGATCTCAGTGCATCTCTGCATGTCTCAGGTTCGCCCGCCGTCCCTGCTGGGAGCCTAGAGGGGAGCGGTGGGGGTGCCAGTGGCAGGCAGAGGCCTTGGACCTGGAGCTCTGGAGACAAGTTTCGCAGAAGGCTCCGGCACCAGGGTACACCAGGGGGCTAATGCAGCTGGTGGGCAGAGGCCCAGGCTGGACAGTCCCAAGGCCATGCTTTGGAGCAGAGCAGAAGTCAGCTGTCTGGGTCTGGGTGGCCAGATCAGCCAGTGGGAGGAGGGAAGGGGGTGCTGCTCTCTCCGTAGCACCCTGCCCCCCACAGGATTCAGCCGCACCGCTGGGGTTGACCACCCAGCCCTCAGAAGCATCAGGGTCTCAGATAAGCCCCGGGAGCTGCCCAGGACAGCAACACTCCGTGCCGAGCCCTGCTCAGCCCATACACCAGGCCAGCTTGGAAGGTAAAAAGGACAGGCTCTGAGCTCAGACTGGCTCTGTCCACGCTGGGTCACTGAGCGCCATGGAACAAAGGCCTGTGCCTCAGTGGCCCCAGGTTTGAGATAGGAAAGTGACACCATGGAAGGATTAGAGGTGACTGCAGGTGGAGCCCTTGTCCTGGTGCCTGGCACGGAGTAAGCACTCAATAAATGCAGGATTATTTCCTGCCCTGCCCTACGCCCTACTTCCTCTGTGGGCCTCCCCATCCCCCAGTATCCCGGGGCTTCCCTAAGAACCTGTGACACATTCTCAGAGGCCAGCCCCACCCCAGCACTCCCTGCCACATTCCCTTCCTCCTTCCTCCCTGGCAAACACAGACACCCATCTTGTGCTGGGTGCCAGGCACTGGCTGATCTGGCCACCCAGACCCAGACAGATGACTTCTGCTCTGCTCCAAAGCATGGCCTTGGGACTGCCCAGCCTGGGCCTCTGCCCACCAGCTGCATTAGCCCCCTGGTGTACCCTAGTGCCGGAGCCTTCTGCGAAACTTGTCTCCAGAGCTCCAGGTCCAAGGCCTCTGCCTGCCACTGGCACCCCCACCGCTCCCCTCTAGGCTCCCAGCAGGGACGGCGGGCGAACCTGAGACATGCAGAGATGCACTGAGATCCTCAGGTTCACCCCCAAATCTCCAATTTTATTGCCTGAAGGTCAAGATCAGGCCCTGTGGAGCTGCCCACTTCCATCCATTATTTAGCCCTTGCCATGAGAGGCTCGGCTAGGGATTCAGAGCAAAGCAAGTTTATGGCTCTAATTTTCACTAAGGTGTGAGTGACTGATACAGCATACTCTCCCAAGGCGACACACATTCAAAAGGGAAGGCTTCTCAAAGCCTTCAGCCATCGGTATGGCCAAAAAGGCAGGGACAGGTTTTCTGGCCTCCAGCTGGATATTCATTCTGTTCTTGGTTTTCCATGAAGCCACCCACTGGGTGGACTTGTACTTGAATCCAGGCTGGATCTTCTTCTAACTTTGACTCAGGACACATTGCTGCCCCTTTCTGAACCCTTAGTGTTCTTATCTGTGACATGGGGGCACGGGCCCCCCTCCTAATGGCCAGGTGTGGAACCCAAGATTCCAGAGGCCCAAAGCAGAGGCCACATTCTTAAGGGGCCGATGGCCTGTCCCACCTAGGAACGGAGGCAGGAGGCAATGAGGGACTTGACTTACCTGGAGTGCCTTACACTTCATGAGGCCAGAGTGTGGGTCCCGGGACCAGCCTGCCCCTTGGGGACCTTGCAGCAAAGTCTCAGTTCTAGGCCCTGTTTGTCCAGTGTGGGAACAGGATCGGGAGGCCCTGCCCTCCCAGCTTCCTGCCCACTCCCCTCCCAGGGCAGTGATATCCGCCACAACTGGACTTTGACCCCACATCCTGCCTCAGCCCTGTCCTAAGGCCCCATTTACAGGGACTAAGGTGTGCACTCCCTGACCTTCCCAGTCGTTTTACAGCAGGGAAACTGAGGCCCAGAGAAGGAAGTGACTTGTCAGAGACCATACAGAGCCAGGGCAAGGCTACCCTCCTCAGCAAGGTGTCATACACCAGCACACACTTTGTGCTTAGAAATTGGGCAGAGGGAAAGGAACCCGATTTGTGTCAGTCTTACTGATTTTTCCTACCTGGCTCCAACCACTGAAGCGTTGGGTGTGTCATTGATTCATTCTGCAAACCTCCCCTGGACTTCCTTGGTGAGGACCGGGCCTAGCCCCATGCTGAGTGATGCTGGGGCTTGGCTCAGGGTGACCTCAGCCCGGCCCTACTCCAGAGGAGTCAGGCTTGGAGAGACAGAGCCAGACATGGAGAGGGCTGGGCTGGAGGCGGGGACAGGGACTGGGAGGGCCCAAGGGGGTGGTGAGGCTCTGCCCGGGGCAGCAGGGTGGGCTTCCCAAGGGGAGGGGTACTGGTGCTGGGTGTGGAAGGTCAGTGGAAAGCGGGTGGGCAGTGGGCATGCATAACCTAGAAGTCAACCGAACCAGCTTTGGAATCAGTCTGACGAGGGTTCAAACCCCCTATCTGTATGGCCCGGGGCAAGTCCCTTCCTCCTGCTAGGACTCAGTTTACCCTTCTGACATGCAGCTTCAGTGAGACAGTATGTGTCGTGTGCCTGGCACTTTCTAAATGCTTCATAGCCCCCGACCCCAGTCCCGACCAATTGTTGTCCAAACCTTGCTGGAAGATGTCATGAAAAACCTAACCATCTTCACACCTGGATGAGCCCAAAGCTGCAGAACTTGCTCTCACTCTGTCATGTTAAGAGAGCGCTGTGCTGGGCATATAGTTGGCACCTAGTAAATGCTACACCCCACAGATCCTTCCAGAAGGAAGTCAGGTGAATGTTGGGTCACGCTGACCTGTCTTCAAGGAAACTGGATCATTTTCTCAGTCAAGGCAGAAGTTTCACAGCAGCTGCTGGGGCACCCAGAGACCACCACGACAAGGCTTCCATTTTGCAGATGAGAAGACTGAAGCCACAAAAGGGGACAGGGGTCACACAGCTGGGATTTGGAGCCAGGCATCTAGGCTTATTGCCCGAAGGTCAAGATCAGGCCCTGTGGAGCCTGACATAGGCCTGAGCTGCTGTCACCCTCCTCCTCCTCTGAGCCCCACCCCCTCCCCATTCCCTAGCTCAGCAGTAGGACACTCGGTGGCCTTGAAGATGGGACAGGAGACCTTTTAAGAATTTGCACGGGGGACGGGGGGTGGCGTACAGTTGGTTAAGCGTCAGACTCTTGGTTTTGGCTCAGGTTGTGTTCTCAGGGTCCTGAGATCGAGCCCCGTGTCGGGCTCTGCACTCAGTGTGGAATCTGCTTTGAATTCTCTCTCCTTCTCCCTCTACCCCTCCCGCTTGTGCGCGCACTCTCTCTCTCTCAAATAAATAAATAGATCTTAAAAAAAAAAAGAATTCGCACAGACATGCGCACACACACACACACACACACAGAGCATCTGGCACATTTTACACATCATCTCAGGGGTGAGTGTGTAACCCAGATCAGACTCAGAGCTTGACCTAGAAGCCACATCAGCTCTAATAACATACCTTCTTCCGGATGTTAAAGAAAAGAAGGAAGTCAGAAAGGGACGTAGGAAAGCAGGCCTGGCATAAGGGCCTGTTCAGAAGTGGGTTCAAACCCTGTGCTGGGTGACCTGGAGAAAGTCACTCCACCTCTCTGGGCTTCCTACTGGGAAGAGGAAGCAGGAGGATGAAGCAGGGCCCAGGGAGGGCTCCTTGCCCACCCTGGGAACACGGACTGGACCACAGCGTCAAACTATCAGAGACAGAAGTCAGATCAAAGCATGAGCTGGACTGACCAGAGGACCAGAGTTCAGGACAGGGGAGGGAGGTGCAGCCTGGAGGTGACAGAGAAGGCTTCCTGAACTGACTCTTGACTGGTGTGGTGGAGCGCAATGGAGATGGACCAGGTGAAGGGGTTTGTGGTTTGTATCCCATAGATCTGAGCTTTTCAAGCTGGGAGGGCCAAGAGAGGGGCAAGGCTCCCAGGATAAACAAAGAGAACTGAAAACTTGGGAACGTGGGGGACATTTTTATTAAAATGAACATAAGCCAGATGTGCAGTAATTTTAAAGATTTAACCTTAGCCTTCAAAGAAAGTGGTCTTTGAGGGGTATCTCTCTTCTAGCCAAGACCCCCAAGTACAGGAATAGGGTGGGCCTTCAGAGTATTTCATTTTATTTTTTGAGAGAGAGAGCATGGGGCGGGGGTGGGGGCAAGGGACAGAGGTACAGGGAGAGAGAGAATCTTAAGCAGGCTCTATACCCAGCACCAGCCGAACTAGGGGCTCAATCTCACCATCCTGAGGTCATGACCTGAGCCAAAATCAAGAATCTGAGGCTTAACCTACTGAGCCCCCCCAGGTGCCCCAACCTTTCAGAGTATTTTGTGGGAAAGTCAGAGACCCAATCTCTTGGGCAATGGGGAGCCAGGGCAGTTTTAGGCAGGAGGAGGGCAAACATACATTTAGAAAGTTTTTCTAGCTGCCAGTGCAGGAGGCAGGACTAGAGAGGGACAGCCTGGGGTTTGGGGGAGATCTGGGCCCAGAGGATGAGACTCCTATTTCTGCTTAACTCGGGATCACCAGCAGTCCGCACCCCTGAAACTGGGATGCAAGACTGAACGTGTTTCTGGGAAGTGTGTCGGGACTTGTTTCCCAAAAGCTGTAATCGATTCTGAAAGAGTATCCAGGACCCCCCCAAAGATAAGCACACACAGCTGGTCCCAAGAGATGGGAAGAAGGTGCAAATCATATTAACAGGTAGCATTTGAGTGGTGCACGGTATCGTTATCCCTGTTTTGCAGGTGAGGCAACTGAGGCCCGGAGAGACAGAGGACTCTTGTGAACGTGGGAGACGCCACTCCGCCACGGGTACGTGGTCCCCAGACTGACAGGTCCCCCCATCTGTCCCCAGGTGGAAGAGGAGCTGACACACCTCCAGAAGAAGCTGAAGGGGACGGAGGACGAGCTGGATAAATACTCCGAGAATCTGAAAGACGCCCAGGAGAAGCTGGAGCTGACGGAGAAGAAAGCCTCCGACGTACGTGCGCAGTAATGGGGGCGCCCGCGGCTGGGCCAGGCGGGAGCCCCGGGGCCGGGCAGGCGGGAGCCCCGGGGCCGGGCGGGGGGGCGGGCAGCGCCGGAGGAAGAGGAGGAGGAAGAGGAGAAGGCGGTGCCTCCCGGCGCTTTCTCCAAATAAGTCCCGAAAAGGGGCACTTTCCAGCAGCTGTGGCCAGCGGTGCCGACGTCAGGCCCTCCCCCAGCGGTGCTGACGTCGGCGGCCGGGCCCGGTGACCTCATCGCCCCGACGGCGGCCGGGCCGGGGGCGGGGAGAGGCGGGGGCGGCCCCGGCGCAAGCAAAGGCTCGGGGGCCGGGGCGCGGCTGGTGCAGCTTTCGCCGGAGCCGAGCCGAGCCGAGTGCCCGCCGCTGCCCGCCGCCCGCTGCGTGCGCCTCCGCGCCTCCGCGCCATGGCCGGCCTCAACTCCCTGGAGGCGGTGAAACGCAAGATCCAGGCCCTGCAGCAGCAGGCGGACGAGGCGGAGGACCGCGCGCAGGGCCTGCAGCGGGAGCTGGACGGCGAGCGGGAGCGGCGCGAGAAAGTGAGAGCCCGCGCCCTGGCCCCGCGCCCCGGCATCCCCCGGCCCAGGGCGCGCTCCTTTCTCCCCTTCTCCCCGCGCCGCCCGCTTCCCGCGCTCCCCGCCCGCCCTCGGCGGCCGCTACCCGCTTCTCCATCCCCCCCCCCCGCGCCCCTTGTTAGCCCGCCTTCGCGCCCTCTGGCCTGGCGGCTCCCGGATCGCGGACCCGCAGCCCCCTCCCCCGGGCGGGCTGCTGAGACCCCCCTTTCTCCGCGGTCATCCTCCTTCCCCAGCCTGGGACGGGGGAGGGGGCGCCGCATCCGGATCGGGCGTGGCCGGCCGAGCGGTAATGGGGGGATGGGGCCGAGGAGGACGCACGATCCTGGAGTGGGGAGGAGGTTGTGGGGGGCGCCGCACTGCCATCTGACTCTGGGCTGGCGCCGGGGTGCTGGGCGGGGGGTGGGGTGGGGGCCGGCCACTGGACCTTGGAGCGGGAAGTGAGAGTGGAAACATTGAGCTTCCATTGTCTGGGGTTGGACTAGCCAACTCGGACTCTGGGGGCGGGGGGGGCGCGTCGCACTTTCTCCCCTCTTACGCGGCTTCCCGGCTCCAGCTGAACTTTCCCAGCTGTTCCCAGGGGCGCGGCGGCGACGTGTCCGCCCCTGGCGGGGGGCGGAAGTTCAGCCCGGAGCCGCCGGCCTTGCCCTCCCCAGCTGGTCCCTTCGGGAGCGACCGGCGAGCGACGGCCGCGGGACCCCGCCTTTCTCCAAAAGAACTTAGGAATGTTAGCTCAGGGCCCTCGACCCAAGGTGGTTCGGTGTGCCTCCGCTCCATGCTGCGGGGCCTGAGACATATAATGGGGCCGACGGAGGAGGGCCCTCTTCGCCCTCCCTCAGTCCTCGGACTGCCCCTCGAGGCAGGACAGATGGTGGCAACCCCTGGGGCTGGGGAGAGATCCGGATTCTAACGCCATCTCCTACCACTTGGTACTTAACCCCTAGCAGCGTGTCTCCCCATCTGTAAAGCAGCCGTGACCATAATGCAGATCCCCTAGGATAGCTGGGAGGGTCCGGGGAGTAAGGGCACATAGTAGGTGCTCAGTTCCTGGGCTGTTTTTCCTCCCCTCCCAGTCACCTCAGAAGAGCTCACAGTCTGATGGGTGTGAGGGGTACAAATAAGGCTGGATAGCATTGCAGAGGGGGTCAGTGTTCTGTTGTGGGAGCAGGACAGGGGAGCAACCCCCCCACCCCCGTGGGGTAGGCTTCAAAATGGAAGTCGAGCAGTCATTATTATAGAATAAGAGTTTGCTGGGAGAAGAGCCCTAGGTGTGCAAGAAAGTTGGAGAGGGTGGAAGCCCAGGGCCTGGGAAAGCTGGAGTGTTGAGGCTGAGGGTGGGGACCCCAGAAATGGAAAAGATGCCCAAGGTGTTGACAAGTCTGGAGAAGAGCCCCACACTGTCCCAGTGTTGGCCTGAGTGGAAGCATTTAGTCTTCCACTAGGGTTGCTCTGGCGTGAAGAGGCCTCAGAAACCTGGTGCAAGCCTCAAACAGTAGCTGGTTTGGCCTCTTTCACACAAGGAACCGGCAGAACCCTCCCTCTGATCTCATCCCAAGTCATCTCGCTGGAGGACAATTACTTCTGCTTAAATATGGCCCTCAGCTTCGAGCCAAGACTTAGGAGTAGGACCATCCAGTTGGGAGGAAAGATGTTTTTGGAAAGTTGTGGATTTCTTAAAAAGTTTGCTTTTCAAAGCATTCTCCTCTTGGTCAGGATGGGGAAGTCTGAAGAAAGTGCTCGGAGAAAGGAACTGAGCCCTGGGTGGGGGGGCGGGGAAACCTTTCTCAAGTCTCTTGTGGAGAAAGCCAAGAGCCGGCGTGTGGCAGACTTCTGGGTCTGCCTCCCGACAGCTGGTTTCGTTTAGATTTTTGTGTGATTAACCGACATCTTCCTGTTCCTTTGCCACATGTATCTAGCAAGCCTCTTTTACCTTATAAGGGAAATCCTTTGTAGAGTGTAGAAGCTTTGATTGCAGGAAGGGGTGGAGCCCAAAATGACTAGCAGTGACTAGCAGTTTTTCAAAAATACATATATATGTATGCACGTCTATAGTCGTGTATATAAGCGTTCTTTCAATTCCAGACAGTTGAAAATGTGCCAAAAGCATGGTTATCAGGATTCAGAATTCCCCACAGAAGGAAAGTCCACTTTCGTTTTTTAAAGACAACTCATGAATAAAGCACCTTTGTATGATCTTAAAACTCAATACCTTGACTGCTAATGGGGATGGGGTTACTTTGGGGGGGGGGTGATGAAAATGTTCCAGAATTAGGTCATGGTGTTGGTTGTGCAGTTTTGCTAATGTACTAACTATTGGGGGGGGGGATCCATTCCTGCCCCTGTTGCTGAAGGAGTTAAAATTCACGTTATTAAAAAGAATAAAAGGCACCCACTCATTAGAAGGAGTGGGTGAGTTTCTTAAAATAGTTCATCGGTGGTTTTAATGTAGTCTCCAAATTGGTGTTTCAGAGGAAGTTGCGATCAGAAACACCTGGGGGAGTTTTCCCTCCATCTGCTGCTAAGACTCTGGAGCTGAGCAGTTTCCTGAGTCTCTGTTTTTCAGCATCTCTGGCCTCATTCTTCTACTCCATTTTTTTGCTGTATAAATTCAGGGGGTTGGGGGGAGGGGAGGAAGCAGTTTCCTACTAATTTTTATGGCCTTCCCCAATTCAGAGATTGACTTGATAGGAAGAAGCCAGTGTAGCTTTATACGTCTTCCCTCGGTTGAGTCAAATTTCACCAACTCTTCAGTATTTCTCAAAGCCTCCACAAGACTCAGCAGGGTACAGACTCAGCCAGGGAAGAGCCATGGGCTGGGTTTCCTGAGGCCAGTTCTGTTGACACTGGACAGAACCACTGCCCCTAGCTGGACCTTTCCATTTCCCCATCATAAAATACCGGAGGATTAAATGAGGTGAAATCCTGGGGCTTCCCGCATGCCAGGTGCAATGCCACACCCTCAGTTACAGTCTTCACGGTGCTGGGGCTGGGATGGGGAGGCCCAGAGCAGTGAAGCAGCCTGCCCGGTGCCACGCGGCTACAAATTGGCAAAACAGGGATTCTGACCGAGTGCTTTTTGAGCCCAAAGTTCCTGCTTTCATGTACACCGCCATATTGCCTTCCTTGTAGGTGCAAATACCTTGAAAAGCCAGTGTCACCATTCAGACATCCCTTCCGTGCCTGTAACCACGTTTTCTTTCCTTTCCTCACTTAGATATTTTTGTCCCATCCTCTCTGGGCCAGACTTAGTTCAGGGCTGTGTTCTGACAGGTGCTGCCCTCGCTTCCCCACGTTGTGCGGCCAACATTTAACTGAGGCTTCCATACTCTTACATTTATCTTACCATTGAGGTGACTGGGAGCAGAGCTTTCTATATGCCAGGGTGAGCCAGGGCACTGGTGGCCTTACCCTCTAGGAATCCCAGAGAGGCCAGCACTGTCTTCTCCCAGCATGTGGTGTGCTTGGCACTCGACCGTGTTGACTTGACTGCCTGTCCTGTACTGGGATACACACCTTTCTCATTGAGTGGTGGATGTTCTCGGACGTTTTCGGGGGAAGAACATATGGAAAATTCACATTCTCCAGATGAGAGTGTGAATTCCTTACTGCCTGCATTCCCAGGTGGGCTCTGTCGGGCAGGGGGAGAGAGGGAAGTGTGTTAATGGAAGGAAGAATGCCATGAGAGTTGGGGATGCTGGGCTGGCCTTTCACGTCTTAAGCCGGCTGCACCTCTGACCTCCCCAGGCCGAAGGGGATGTGGCAGCTCTCAATCGACGCATCCAGCTTGTGGAGGAGGAGCTGGACAGGGCTCAGGAGCGACTGGCCACAGCCCTGCAGAAGCTGGAGGAGGCAGAAAAGGCTGCCGATGAGAGCGAGAGGTAAGGATGACCTGGCGGCATCAGCGTGTGCTTCTCAGAAGTGGGGGTGGTGCTGTGCGGCTGACCTCCCAGAGCCGGGGTGCGACTGAAGGAGAACTCCCAACTGGCAGAGAAAAATGTAAAAATGGGTAGATGTAAGCCTGTGAGTATGACTTGTCACTGGCCACCAGTTTGCAGAAGGCTGCTTTGCAGGTTCTCTGAGAGCCACTCTGCATCTCGCTGGTGTTCTCACGATACCAAGTTCCTGGGGGATGGGAGAGGAGGATGGGAGATGAAAACTTGGAATGGACCATTTGCACAGACGATTGTTAAGCCTGCTGGTCAGTGACAACTGTATGTATGTCAGGGACACGTGCAAACCAGCACCATTAACAGACTTGAAACTGACAGCGCTCCTCACCTCGGTGGCATGCACTCCGCATTTGGGCCTCCAGCAGGATGCTCCGTCCTCCGGCGCAGGATAATTCATGCTTTGGCGCAGGCTCTGGAGGACTGAGGTCAGATTGTGTCATTCACAGAAGCAGCTGTCTCTGTGTGGTGGTAAATGGGCTCCTTGTGCGGTGATGGTGTGGGCTAGGCCA